AGAAGCAAGTTTCCGTCTCATGTTTTGAAAGGTAAAGTGGCAATAGAGTAAGACAGAAGGTAATATACCAGTTCCATAAATCTTAAATATGTTTTGATTTTAGATAGAATTGCAAAACCTAATTACCATTTTTCTATAAATCAGACAATTAGATATCATATAACTTTACATTTTTTGTATGAATATTTCTATAATCACCTTTTACAATTTTAGACCTTTTAACTCTAACTTAAACGAGGACTTCAGCATTATAAAATATATTAATTTATGACTTTTTATAGAGATATCAGTTTCTTTTCAATTCTAAACATAAATAATATCACGGAACTAAAATAAAATTTCTTATTAAACTTAACAATTTGCATATTTCTTTCTAAACTATTTGTTTATAAATTGAATTAAAATCAAAAATTATAAAAAAAAAATCATTGTAAACTAGTCTTTAAATAAAAATGCATTGCTATTATTGTAATAATTTTTATAAAAAACAAATTTTAATTGAACTAATTATGGAAAATATTCACATGATAAATTAACAATTATATGATTTTAAACATATTGTTATTAGTTGGAAGCAAAAGTAATTTTCTCATTTGTATACCGAGGGAAACAAAGGATAAATTTAATATGTTTTTTGTCTTTACTTTCCAATATAGTAAAATGGAGGAGAATATGACCCATAATATTATTTATTCTATACTTTACATATCTGTTTGATTTAACCTCAACAACTATTTTGTGATATTCCAAAATTACTAAATTGATGAGCCACTGTAATGTCCATACTATATTGTATTTTAATTAAAAAATATCACATTTAAAATATATGTTCCAACAAGTTGTTTTAAATCAACGCTGAAAGACAAAGAAGACAAGACAAACATTAACTTTATTTTTATTAGTATTTATTTGTAAACAATAAGGTGGTACTAAATTATCCAAATAAATTAATAACCTTCATTTAATAAATTTAGTCATTCCGTTTGAAACTCTTCGAAATATTGGTCGGGGTCCCAGACGATCTAGTCAAACCCCATTCTCTTTGGCAACTTCAGTACTTTTTGATATCAAAAAACACCGCGTCTATATAGTCTAGTCTATAGTCTGGTCTATAGTCTGGTCTATAGTCTGGTCTATAGTCTGGTCTATAGTCTGGTCTATAGTCTAGTCTATAGTCTAGTCTACAGTCTAGTCTATAGTCTAGTCTATAGTCTAGTCTATAGCCTAGTCTATAGTCTAGTCTATAGTCTAGTCTATAGTCTAGTCTATAGTCTAGTCTATAGTCTAGTCTATAGTCTAGTCTATAGTCTAGTCTATAGTCTAGTCTATAGTCTAGTCTATAGTCTAGTCTATAGTCTAGTCTATAGTCTAGTCTATAGTCTAGTCTATAGTCTAGTCTATAGTCTAGTCTATAGTCTAGTCTATAGTCTAGTCTATAGTCTAGTCTATAGTCTAGTCTATAGTCTAGTCTATAGTCTAGTCTATAGTCTAGTCTATAGTCTAGTCTATAGTCTAGTCTATAGTCTAGTCTATAGTCTAGTCTATAGTCTAGTCTATAGTCTAGTCTATAGTCTAGTCTATAGTCTAGTCTATAGTCTAGTCTATAGTCTAGTCTAGTCTATAGTCTAGTCTATAGTCTAGTCTATAGTCTAGTCTATAGTCTAGTCTATAGTCTAGTCTATAGTCTAGTCTATAGTCTAGTCTATAGTCTAGTCTATAGTCTAGTCTATAGTCTAGTCTATAGTCTAGTCTATAGTCTAGTCTATAGTCTAGTCTATAGTCTAGTCTATAGTCTAGTCTATAGTCTAGTCTATAGTCTAGTCTATAGTCTAGTCTATAGTCTAGTCTATAGTCTAGTCTATAGTCTAGTCTATAGTCTAGTCTATAGTCTAGTCTATAGTCTAGTCTATAGTCTAGTCTATAGTCTAGTCTATAGTCTAGTCTATAGTCTAGTCTATAGTCTAGTCTATAGTCTAGTCTATAGTCTAGTCTATAGTCTAGTCTATAGTCTAGTCTATAGTCTAGTCTATAGTCTAGTCTATAGTCTAGTCTATAGTCTAGTCTATAGTCTAGTCTAGTCTATAGTCTAGTCTATAGTCTAGTCTATAGTCTAGTCTATAGTCTAGTCTATAGTCTAGTCTATAGTCTAGTCTATAGTCTAGTCTATAGTCTAGTCTATAGTCTAGTCTATAGTCTAGTCTATAGTCTAGTCTATAGCCTAGTCTATAGTCTAGTCTAGTCTATAGTCTAGTCTATAGTCTAGTCTATAGTCTAGTCTATAGTCTAGTCTATAGTCTAGTCTATAGTCTAGTCTATAGTCTAGTCTATAGTCTAGTCTATAGTCTAGTCTAAAGTCTAGTCTAGACTATAGACTAGTCTAGACTATAATCTAGACTATAGTCTAGTCTATACTAGACTATATACTAGACTATATACTAGACTATAGACTAGACTATAGACTAGACTATAGTCTAGACTATAGACTAGACTATAGACTAGACTATAGACTAGACTATAGACTAGACTATAGACTAGACTATAGACTAGACTATAGACTAGACTATAGACTAAACTATAGACTAGACTATAGACTAGACTATAGACTAGACTATAGACTAGACTATAGACTAGACTATAGACTAGACTATAGACTAGACTATAGACTAGACTATAGACTAGACTATAGACTAGACTATAGACTAGACTATAGACTAGACTATAGACTAGACTATAGACTAGACTATAGCCTAGACTATAGACTAGACTATAGACTATAGCCTAGACTATAGACTAGACTATAGACTAGACTATAGACTAGACTATAGACTAGACTATAGACTAGACTATAGACTAGACTATAGACTAGACTATAGACTAGACTATAGACTAGACTATAGACTAGACTATAGACTAGACTATAGACTAGACTATAGACTAGACTATAGACTAGACTATAGACTAGACTATAGACTAGACTATAGACTAGACTATAGACTAGACTATAGACTAGACTATAGACTAGACTATAGACTAGACTATAGACTAGACTATAGACTAGACTATAGACTAGACTAGACTATAGACTAGACTATAGACTAGACTATAGACTAGACTATAGACTAGACTATAGACTAGACTATAGACTAGACTATAGACTAGACTATAGACTAGACTATAGACTAGACTATAGACTAGACTATAGACTAGACTATAGACTAGACTATAGACTAGACTATAGACTAGACTATAGACTAGACTATAGACTAGACTATAGACTAGACTATAGACTAGACTATAGACTAGACTATAGACTAGACTAGACTAGACTATAGACTAGACTATAGACTAGACTAATAGACTAGACTATAGACTAGACTATAGACTAGACTATAGACTAGACTATAGACTAGACTATAGACTAGACTATAGACTAGACTATAGACTAGACTATAGACTAGACTATAGACTAGACTATAGACTAGACTATAGACTAGACTATAGACTAGACTATAGACTAGACTATAGACTAGACTATAGACTAGACTATAGACTAGACTATAGACTAGACTATAGACTAGACTATAGACTAGACTATAGACTAGACTATAGACTAGACTATAGACTAGACTATAGACTAGACTATAGACTAGACTATAGACTAGACTAGACTAGACTATAGACTAGACTAGACTATAGACTAGACTAGACTAGACTAGACTAGACTAGACTAGACTAGACTAGACTAGACTAGACTAGACTAGACAAGACAAGACTAGACAAGACTAGACTAGACGAGACTATAGACTAATCTAGTATATAGTCTAGTCTAATAGATAGTAGACGGGCAGTTCAAAGTCTGGACTATAAGGTGTATGAGACAAATTGTCCCAATTACTTATTTCAAAATAGTTTTAAATAGATATTGCGTAATTTAACAGAGACTTGTAATTCCGCTTTCCTGTTTTGTCTCATAACCTGGGCGATTTTCGGCCATTGCTCACTTTAAACGAATCAGTTGCATTCGTTAGAGGTTCCCTTTAATGGTTCGATCCCACCAAATCAGAGCATTACCTTAGTGCCATGGAGATTTCGTTTTAACATAGGATTTCTTAGCGCTTTGGGTTATTGTAATGGATCCATTTTTTATCGCATTTATAGCACAAGCAGCATTTCGAACAATAGTCACTTGACTTCAATCCGTAAAGTTCTTTGTTTTCGAACTAGTGACTAATATGTACATATTTTCTGTTCAAGAAACTTCAGGTTAAAAAAATTCGCCGGTACAAAAACATTTCATACTTTAGTGACAACCAGTGTGTGTCACCCTAATTTAAATATTAAATACATTTATTTAAAATGCACATCATGATTTAAGAATATGAAAAACACACAAACGAAATTAAAACCAAAAACCAAGAAACAATAAAAGCATTTGTTTATAATCAAATAGTTTTAACGTTGAAAAACCACAAAAACCAAATAAATAAATAAACAATTTAAACAACATTAAAAAAAGCTCTAAATAAATAATAAAGATTTACTTAAGAATTTGCATAAAATAAAACAAATACATACTTTTTGTAGCGGGTCTTTTCGGCAACAACTTTTTTCTGGGAGTTTTAGATTTTCAAAATCATCATCTTTTAAATTTTATTATTTAACAAGTCGTTTTAACAACTTGTTAAAAAAATATATATTGATGTTTTGTTTTTTGCATTTTACAACAACTTTAGAATATTTAGTAAATAAATAATATTATGTAAATATTTAAAAGTTTGTTTAGGCATTCATGAGCTTAAATAAATACAAATTTAACGAAAAAATATTCAAAGTACTAAAGTTTTCATTTGATGTCAAGCGCAACAATTAAAATTACTGTACTGTCAGTCAATCATTGATTCAATCATACGTGGGTAGTGTGATAATTATTTAAAATAATAAATTTTCTACAATCAATACCGTTTGTTTAATGGAAAATTTATGTATTTTTTTAATTGCAGATAACTACAGCGTGTAACAAAATCTCATAAAAAATATTCAACAAATCGGTAAGTTGATTGATATATAAATTTATAGAAAATACTTTTTAAAACTGTCAGTGGATAAGTCTATTGGGTACTGATACATACATATTGATGGTAATATCATTACATGTAAGAAAGCTAGTGACTAGAAAGAATCATGGTTTAGTTTGGATTTTTAGGTTTGGCTCTTCATGAACAAAGCATTTAGGCTTATTTCCATTTCAGATCCCATTGTGATAACCAAGATAACTGATCTAGACCTCACAGAAATCTTCCTCTTTATTAAGGCAGTTTCTGCAACAATCATTGTATTATGAATCTTCTGACTTGAGTGCCTATTATAATTACTGATAAGAGCATATAAGTAAGCCTGATCTGAAGGCATCATATGTAGAATCGGTAGACCTCGAGGTCTGACATGTTCTTTTAATCAACCACCAACTTGTATTGAACGAGTGACTTACAATTTGGCTAATTTATTAGCTGTACAGTTATCCTGATACTTGTATAGATCAGGGCAAAAATATTAGTGTTATCCTAGAATGTTTCGCTATCTCATTTAGAGAAACTTGGAATTATTTGATTAACCTAGATATCGGACCAAAGGACCACATAATCTGGTACTACAGGTGACCAGTTGCACGCAGGACTTTGTCCCTGTGGTCCATGAAGTAGCTGGTTTTAAGACTGATGCACACTAAAAACAATATTTCGGTATAAACACGGTACTGTTGCCGAAGCCAACAGATACTCCACAGAGGAGTGACTGTAGGACTAAGCGTTGGACATGAGTTCGTGTTAAATGTATATGATTCAGGAGAAATGTAGGGGTATACGTATCTTATCCGCCCGTTTACCTAGAGTGAATGTTTCAGATGTTCTTCTCTATGGGTGTGTCAGATGAATGAGAAGTGTGCTATTTTGAATGATGACGGATGAACGGTATTTTGTACAAGTAATACCATTGAATTTTCCTTCCTTGTCCAGGTATGTTCAGGGAAAGTTCTGTTCATACCAGATTTAGCACAGTGTGTTCCCCGTAAGTAAAAACAAAGTCCTCGGCTTGTTTGATGGATACGTGTTTCGGACTACCGAATACGTCTCTAGGTGCTGTTGCCGACTCAACAGGGGCCATCCCAGCTGCGTGGTTGTAAACGGAAGTGATGTTTTTATATGTCAGAAGTTAAGCAACGGGGCAGCAATGGTCAGAGATTGAATAACTTGAGTAATTGAGCATAGGCTTGTACACGGACCGGTAGAAGCATGTACGAAAGTTGCCACCCGCGTTTAAGTTACACATAGGGGCTTTGGTGAGTCGTCAAAAAAGACCACCGAAAAAAGACCGAGATCAATGATTAACAACATTTTTTCGTATGAATCGTATGACATGAACATATGATTTCAACGGGACAGCCATACGAGAGATCGGGCCACTAACCCCGTTAGATATTTTCATATGGAGTTTTCTTAAGTCACAGGTCTATGCAAATAAGATACAAATCACGGCGGCATTTAAAGCCAATATAACCCATTCCATCGATAAAATTCAGACTGATATATCTATGCGTCTGAATCAATGTAATTTATACACTTCTAATGCGTTCCACACAGCAAAGCGGACATAAGCATGATGTTATACATATTCCATATAAAATAGCCTTCCAAACGAATAAAGAATTTTGATTATTATCTCACACTTTGTTTTATATAATTTTAAAGATAGGAACAGCTTGATATTACAGTTTTGGTTCTTCACCTCCTAAATTTTTCAAGTGTTTTTATTTAGATATTTCTTTATTCAAGATTGTCTTGTTTTTTCCCATCAATTAATTATAAATATTAATTTTGTTTGATGGGAAATTTTACAAATTAATTTTATTTAACACCATCTAATATTGAAAGCAGTACAATACATATCGGAATTAATAATGATTCCTATAGACCAGTGTAGAACAGTACCGCAGTACCCCTACGATATTTCAAATATTTTTTTTTTATACTAAGAACTTTTGCGAAATAGTCAATACAATAGTCCAAAGAATAATGAAAAAACTAGTAAATATATAGCAGACCAGCAGATCAGTGTATTGACTAGTTCCACTACATAGTCAATTCCTGTTTGGTTAGAATTTAGGTTCGTTTTAAAGAGAGGCAACTTTTTGCTTATCTCTAATAAAATAAAGAGGGTTTTTATTTTGATATTTTGATATGAGTGTAAATATAAAATAGTTTTGAGAACTGTTCAAATCCCTAATAGCATGTCTAGAGGGTTGTGTTAATTTTTAAGCAAAATAAATAAAAACACCTATTTATTTGTTTAAATGTTAAGAGGCCACTCTAAATTGTTAAATTAAATTTAATGAAAACTAATTAACAAAACTCTTCAAAACTATTTTCTTCTAATTCGTGTGGTTTTATTTAAAATTTTAATGGGTAATTATTTAGTTATGGTATTCACAAAATGGTAAATGATTTACTAATTTCTTAGACTTGTAATAAATTTAGTTTAATTTTATCATTTATTGATATTGATATGAAAGGCCTTCTTGGGGACTTGAGTTAATTATGTACCGATTTTGTTAAAAGTGATTTTGCGGGGAGACACATACATATACGGGAGATAGGTAAAATCGTGGACCGATATATATTAACAATGGACAATATTTTTGGAAAATTTTAGACCTCTAGCTTTCCGTTCAGGCTTTCAATAGACAGCTAGACAGAAGGATATGGCTAGATCGTTCTAGGATCTAATGAGGAGTCAAAATATAAACATATGTTTTCTGATTTTGATGTATCAGAAATGTAATAACAAAATCTATATACCCTCATGGTTTTTGATGGGGGGTATACAAATTAGAATATAAAATCTCGAGACGTTGGATCAGGCTCTTAACTACAGCATATGCTCTAGCTGTAGCAATGGTTCTATGGATTTAAAATCGATTTACAGAACCTTAATCAAAAGCATTCAGTATCAATTGTTAAATATTCTCATTAAAGTCATCACTTCAATAGGTTTTTCCCTCAGTATTTGATTAATAGATGAGTTTTGCTAAAACTTCACGTTTTATAATAAATATATTATGCAATGTTTAAATAATAATTTTGTTTGTGTTTTTTTTTGCAATAAACAAAATCTTCATAATAATTTAAAATAATTACTAATAACATGATATTAAATGCATTTAATTATAATTCTTAAACAAATCTAAATATATTTATTACACTGAATAAAATTGCAATTGATATGTATGAAACAATTAAATTATATATTTACTACATTTACACATTATTTATTTGTCTCAAATATAGATAAAAAAAAGAACAATTTCGTTGAGTGTATTGTATACATCACCCCATAAACTACGGATGTGCATGTTTGGATCATAATGTTCGGTTTATATATGATTTTAATCTAGACACCAACAATTCTATTAATTGACAATAAAATTTATTATAACGGCAATAGATTTCAAGTGCAGGAGAGTGGAAATATGACAATAAATGAGTGGGAGAGTTAATAAAATAGCGAGAGTAGAGACATTAAAACAGTGGTTGGCATCTACAAACAACAGGATCGAATGCACAACACAAATATAACTAAACAAAATTCCATGAACTCTAGAAAATTTATAACAGAAATTACTTTTCCAGTTTATACTTTGTACAATTTAATTATGACTTTTTCTCTTTTTTGCCAACCACTGCATTTAACTTAAGGGGAATTTATTAATAATAACTTGTATGAAAATACTCAATTATACACATGTAATCAAATTTATCTATTGCCATTATTACCACTCTAATATGACTCTGTTGGTTGTAAAAATTTATTTGCTATAAAATGATTTAATCGTTTATAATAGATTTGTTCGTTGGAGGAAATAAAACAATTGTGATTTTCGTTTTGCAAAAAAATGTAACCAATCATTGCTTGCGATGAAAATGCATACATTTTGTTCGAATCTACACCTAAGTAATTCCAGAAATCGGCCGGATCGCTTGATAATTCTCCGTCTAGTCTATAGTATAGTCTAGTCTATAGTTTAGTCTATGGTCTAGTCTATAGTCTAGTCTATAGTTTAGTCTATGGTCTAGTCTATAGTCTAGTCTATAGTCTAGTCTATAGTCTAGTCTAGTCTATAGTCTAGTCTATAGTCTAGTCTATAGTCCAGTCTATAGTCTAGTCTATAGTCAAGTCTATAGTCTAGTCTATAGTCTAGTCTATAGTCTAGTCTATAGTCTAGTCTATAGTCTAGTATATAGTCTAGTCTATTGTCTAGTCTATAGTCTAGTCTATAGTCTAGTCTATAGTCTAGTCTATAGTCTAGTCTATAGTCTAGTCTATAGTCTAGTCTATAGTCTAGTCTATAGTCTAGTCTATAGTCTAGTCTATAGTCTAGTCTATAGTCTAGTCTATAGTCTAGTCTATAGTCTAGTCTATAGTCTAGTCTATAGTCTAGTCTATAGTCTAGTCTATAGTCTAGTCTATAGTCTAGTCTATAGTCTAGTCTATAGTCTAGTCTATAGTCTAGTCTATAGTCTAGTCTATAGTCTAGTCTATAGTCTAGTCTATAGTCTAGTCTATAGTCTAGTCTATAGTCTAGTCTATAGTCTAGTCTATAGTCTAGTCTATAGTCTAGTCTATAGTCTAGTCTATAGTCTAGTCTATAGTCTAGTCTATAGTCTAGTCTATAGTCTAGTCTATAGTCTAGTCTATAGTCTAGTCTATAGTCTAGTCTATAGTCTAGTCTATAGTCTAGTCTATAGTCTAGTCTATAGTCTAGTCTATAGTCTAGTCTATAGTCTAGTCTATAGTCTAGTCTATAGTCTAGTCTATAGTCTAGTCTATAGTCTAGTCTATAGTCTAGTCTATAGTCTAGTCTATAGTCTAGTCTATAGTCTAGTCTATAGTCTAGTCTATAGTCTAGTCTATAGTCTAGTCTATAGTCTAGTCTATAGTCTAGTCTATAGTCTAGTCTATAGTCTAGTCTATAGTCTAGTCTATAGTCTAGTCTATA